CGAAAGTGTCTGGCCGAAGCACTTCACCAGGGGGGCTTAAATGCGGCCCACCTGCCGCCATCTCCATTCCTGCAGTCTTGCTGTCGTACGCTAGGTTGTGATAGCGCAACAGGAGTGAGTTCGTACAGTTAACTAGTATGGTTCGTAACTACGGGACCGTACCGTTGCTGTGATTAAGCTTTGATAGCTTAAAGATATTCTAAGGTAAAAGTAGCTTGATACACCTAGCTAGAGATAGATGGACCAAGAAATATTTTACACCGACCGTTGTAAATACCGTAACCACCAGGTCCGTTGTACAGAAACACGATACCACTGCTAGCTGTATGCATGTAAGTATCCCGCGCGCCACGTAACCCAATTATATCAAAACTACAGATAGGTTATTAGCAGCAAATCACGATAACATGCGATGCTGTCCAATCCATGATGAATCAAGCGGATAGCAGCGCTAGCCCTGCGGCCGCTGCATGCATACCCCTGCTGCCTCCACGCACCGCCGTTCCTGCATACACTCCTGCCATACCCTTTGCCTGCCTGCCTGCCTGCATCCCCTTGCCCGCCCAACCCCAACATGTGATACCCCTCCCCCCCTTTCCCCCCTAGTCTTTCCTTGGCATCAGCTTCACTCGCTCGTGGTTCGTCTTTCCCCCCCTTTTCCCCCCCCACCGGCCCACCTTCCTAGGCCACATAATTAAGAGTGTGCTGCTAGAGGACCTGCGACCCGACTTCCCGACCACAAATCCCGGCAGTAGCAGTGCCAGTGATAACGCCGCTGGCTGCGCCATCCCCAGCAGTGGCAGCAGCAGCAGCAGCAGCAGCAGCAGCAGCTGGGGGTTGGTGCCCTCCTGGTACTCGGATCTGGCCCGCCGCTGCTGGGACACGAACCCCGGGGAAAGGCCCTCTGCTGAGAGAGTGAGTGCAACGGAAAGTAGAGGAGGAGGGGGGATGCATGCATACAAACATACGAACATACATGTGGAGGGAGGGATCCGGCGAATATTGTTATGGTGTTATTGGGAATTCGGTGACGGCAAATAATCTATACATCTACATGCGCAGGTGTGTATGCAAGTATGGTTAGGCACTTGGATTTATGGCAAGGTCGGGTAAAGTGAAGTCGGGGGTATGTGAATATGCATCCAAATTGCGAACGGCACGTACGTGCACGGTTATCAGGTTGAGTGGCTCGGTATAAATTTCGGCCGTTGTCATAAATAATTTTTTTGTTTATTAGGTCCACCCGTCTGTTCGTTTGTCCTTTTGCTATCCGCCGTGCGCCAGTATGACCACATCATACATCGGCCCCATTACAGCAAACCCGGTTCCGCCAGGCAATTCCCGTTGCCCTCCCGCCCTCCCTCCCTCCCGCCCTCCCGCCCTCCCTAATCAGGTCGTGCAGGAGCTGGAGGCAAAACTGCTATCTCTGTATTGTTTATGTGTAATTTTAGTAAACTAAAATTGCTGACCCTGATGTAGAGCGTGTTTGTGTATAGCCCCACATCCGGATCCATCCCGCCGCCGCCAGCCTTCGGGGTTGCCCGCGAGTCGAATATGCAATACTCGCATTCGGTAACAGTATTGGCATTTTTATTATATCACGACTTCAGAAACGTACCGATCGGCGGCGTGTTTTTATACCGTGTACGGGAAAAGCTTATAAACTTACCCTATGCGAATCCCGTGATATGCCCAGGATACTTAGGGTTTTGGACCAGCCAAGGATAGAAGTATTAGATTGCCTACCTGCCTTTTTGGTTTTCTTGCCTGTCTGCCCTGGCATGGCATGGCACTCGTGCATGTACATATGTATGTATGGCCCTTGCTTGGGCGTCTCGTTGCTCGTGCATGTGTCGGCTGCGCTCGTCTTGTTATCTTTAGCAGCAGAATTTTCGAAAAATAAAACAACTGAGTGGTTGAGCGAGTGTGGATGATGAGAGAGCAGAGGTGAACACTGCTGATGGATGATGGGGGGGCGGGGTGGAGAAGCGAGACGAGAGGACGTCGTCGACCCGCGGAAGAAGGCCAGCAGGGGTAGCAGCAGTGCAGAACCCCCGGTGACAGGGGTGGAGCTCAACGGCGTTTCCACCACGCTTCCAATGCACTTCATCATCATCAGCAGCAGCAGCAGCCTGTAGAAAACGTACACTAATATAATCCTTGTCGGCGTTTTGTCGCTGCTAGATAGCTGTTGCTTGGAGGTTGCATGTGTTACACGCTTGCTGTAGGAGCTGCTGGCCGCTGAAAAGGCCTCGTAAGATAACGGTGGAGTGCCTTAGCGCATATTTTTAGATGATGTGTGTGCCGTATTGTAGTAGCTGGCCGCTAAAAACGCCTCTCGAAATGCTGGTGGAGCGTATAGCGCGTATATGTATTTGTTATGTGTGCCGTACTGTGTACCGGCTACCACATGTATGCTATGAGGAGCTACTATACTTGCTTACGACTGGAGGCGTTACGCACCTACCTACGTTCCTTGAATCCTCTTCATTGCCGTGTATTTATGTATGTATGCATGTAGATATGCATTGTTAACTGTTAGCTTCCTATCACCCCTCGCTCGTATGCACATGATGTAGTCGCTGGGGCATGGTCGCTTTAGTGTGCTCCAACCAATCGAGACGCGCACCCCTAGGCGGGGCCGCTCCCATCCAGTTCATATAGCGACAAGCCTTGGCTCCGGTAATCCCTATGGGGAAAACGCGGGGGTCACCCAAGGTATTCGGGCACTCCCACCGTGCATCAAGCCGCTTGGCAAATACCTTCAGAATGCACTCAATTGGCAATTTAAGGGTGGCGTAATACGCTATAAGATCATTACCTCGCGTATTAGTGGGGGGTTCCGCTCCTAAGCTAGTAAGAAAGGCTCTCTAAAGTACCTTGCTTGCACTGAGTGTTGGACAATTGTCCAACACTCAGCGACGCCCCCAAGTGCCAATTCCATGTCAGCGACAAATGTCCGGTGACACAGCGTTCCCAGCCTCTTAACCACAGAGTTCCAAAACCTAAGTATAAGATTGGTTTAGCCAATCGATAAAGCATTGATGTAGCTTTTACATGCAATCTTTAGCGGTGAGATATGTAAATTGATCTCGCCCTGGAAAGCTATCTTCGGCCGCAGATATATCTGAATTCATTCCCTTGGTCTATCAATAGAGAAATAGAATAGCATTCAGACGCAAATTTTAATCGGGGTGAAGTAAGATGAAATGTTACACCATGACTGACGGACTGACGGACTGACTGACAGCAGTGAACCTTCGCCCCCGTCCATCAGAACTTCAATCCTGAGCACCCAATCTCCAATACCATGCATGCGCCGCACGGAATGCATTCGACAGGGGGCCATGGCCAGTGACACCGCCGCCTCCGCCGGCTCCTACAGAACGCATGTAAGCCACCGACCATCGGCAAGTAGAAAACGTCACGCCCAGGAAACGAGTGTCACGTCCAGAAAACTGAATAACAACCAAAACGAACGCCGCCTCCCAAACTCCTAAAACCCCCAATGATAAAGTGCCGGTTCATCAAGTCCTAACCGACAACTGACAACCAATTGGCATAATGAAGCATAATCTATATGTATGCGCACGCGCGCGGCGATGCTATGCCACGACGCATGCACACGCACACACATCATCGGAGCAGCAGCAACAATGTTAGGTGGCGTAGGAAAACATACGTGTGTGTGGATGTATATGTGTGTGGATGCAGAGCTAAACTTACGTAACATGTTACTGGCTGCAGAACATGGCCGTAAGGATTATCTATCTGCTCCTCTGTTAATAATCATCAGGGGCATTTATTTACAATCATGTAGAGTGATAAAACATTACCTACACCTGTAGCGTGATAAAAAAAGTCTATTTAGGATTTCCGCCGTCCAATTGATTGTGCATACGAGCGAGGGGTGATAGGAAGCTAACAGTTAACAATGCATACATACATACATAAATACACGGCAATGAAGAGGATTCAAGGAACGTAGGTAGGTGCGTAACGCCTCCAGTCGTAAGCAAGTATAGTAGCTCCTCATAGCATACATGTAGTAGCCGGTACACAGTACGGCACACATAACAAATACATATACGCGCTAAACGCCCCACCAGCATTTCGAGAGGTGTTTTCAGCGGCCAGCTACTACAATACGGCACACACATCATCTAAAAATATGCGGTAAGGCACTCCACCGTTATCTTACGAGGCCTTTTCAGCGGCCAGCAGCTCCTACAGCAAGCGTGTAACACATGCAACCTCCATGCAACAGCTATCTAGCAGCGACAAAACGCCGACAAGGATTATATCAGTGTACGTTTTCTACAGGCTGCTGCTGCTGCTGCTGCTGCTGATGATGATGATGATGATGATGATGAAGTGCATTGGAAGCGTGGTGGAAACGCCGTTGAGCTCCACCCCTGTCACCGGGGGTTCCGCACTGCTGCTACCCCTGCTGGCCTTCTTCCGCGGGTCGACGACGTCCTCTCGTCTCGCTTCTCCACCCCGCCCCCCCATCATCCATCAGCAGCGTTCACCTCTGCTCTCTCATCACCCACACTCTCTCAACCACTCAGTTGTTTTATTTTTCGAAAATTCTGCTGCTAAAGATAACAAGACGAGCGCAGCCGACACATGCACGAGCAACGAGACGCCCAAGCAAGGGCCATACATACATATGTACATGCACGAGTGCCATGCCATGCCAGGGCAGACAGGCAAGAAAACCAAAAAGGCAGGTAGGCAATCTAATACTTCTATCCTTGGCTGGTCCAAAACCCTAAGTATCCTGGGCATATCACGGGATTCGCATGGGGTAAGTTTATAAGCTTTTCCCGTACACGGTATAAAACCACGCCGCCGATTGGTACGTTTCTGAAGTCGTGATATATTAAAAACGCCAATACTGTTACCGAATGCGAGTATTGCATATTCGACTCGCGGGCAACCCCGAAGGCTGGCGGCGGCGGGATGGATCCGGATGTGGGGCTATACACAAACACGCTCTACATCAGGGTCAGCAGTTTTGCCTCCAGCTCCTGCACGACCTGATCAGGGAGGGCGGGAGGGCGGGCGGGCGGGAGGGCGGGAGGGCGGGCGGGCGGGAGGGCGGGAGGGCGGGAGGGCGGGAGGGTGGGGGGGCGGGAGGGCGGGAGGGCGGGAGGGCGGGAGGGCGGGAGGGCGGGAGGGCGGGAGGGCAACGGGAATTGCCTGGCGGAACCGGGTTTGCTGTGATGGGGCCGATGTATCATGTGGTCATACTGGCGCACGGCGGATAGCAAAAGGACAAATGAACAGACGGGTGGACCTAATAAACAAAATAATAATTAATTATGACAACGGCCGAAATTTATACCGAGCCACTCAACCTGATAACCATGCACGTACGTGCCGTCCGCAATTTGGATGCATATACACATACCCCCGACTTCACTTTACCCGACCTTGCCATAAATCCAAGTGCCTAACCATACTTGCATGCACACCTGCGCATATAGATGTATAGATTATTTACCGTCACCAAATTCCCAATAACATCATAACCATATTCGCCGGATCCCTCCCTCCACATGTATGTTCGTATGTTTGTATGCATCCCCCTTCCTCCTCTATTTTCCGTTGCACTCACTCGCTCAGCAGAGGGCCTTTCCCCGGGGTTCTTGTCCCAGCAGCGGCGGGCCAGATCCGAGTACCAGGAGGGCACCAACCCCCAGCTGCTGCTGCTGCTGCTGCTGCTGCTGGGGATGGCGCAGGAAGCGGCGTTATTATTGGCACTGCTACTGCCGGGATTTGTGGCTGGGAAGTCGGGTCGCAGGTCCTCTAGCAGCACACTCTTAATGATGTGGCCTAGGGAAGGGGGCCGGGGGGGAAGGGGGGAAGGGGGAAAGGGGGGAGGAGGGGTTTCACAGGTTGGGGGTGGGAGGGCAAGAGGATGCAGGCAGGCACGCAGGCAGACAAAGGGTAAAATATTTCTTGGTAAAATATCTATCCCTAGCTAGGTCGTGGCGAGGAGGTAAACTTATATACATGGAAGGTCCCTACATGTTACACCATCAGGGCGTGCGCACGATCTATAAAACATTTATATAAAAGAAAAGTGGGCGACATATTTCCCAGACATGCATATGCAGTTGCGAGCACCTAATAACCAGCGAAAGAGCCATGATGATCATGATGATGATGACTCATCTGGGGCCGGTTAACTAGACGGTGTGCTGTTCACAGGGTTCAGATTCCTAGGCGCCGGCCTGCTGAACAACTACTTCGCTTCCACTCATTAGGTGTAGCAGCCATTAGTGCGACCAACGAACGCCGGCTTACCTGGCAGCATGCCTTGGTACGGTGTCCGCCCCGAAACCAGCTCCCAAAGAATGATGCCGAACGAGTACATGCACGATGCCGGGCTGACCTTGCCTGCGGCGGGTATACATACATGTGTACAAACGGTGCATTCAAAAAACGATCTTACCTCGAGCGATAATCCGTCCACTGTACATCCGTCCCATCCACCCAATCATGCTATTCGTTCTGTTTCCCCGCCCCTACACACACATATACGCACGCATACGCACGCACGCATGCATACGCACAGCTGTCGGCTGTCGGCTGGCGTTGCATATTGCATACAATAACTGCCCCCTCCCCTCCCCTCCTCTCACTCAGCTCTGCTCCCTCGAGCTCGCCCCCCCTCCTTGCTCACCGATTCCCAGAACCTCCGGCGCCATGTAAGCCACTGTCCCGAAATTCCGTGTGGTGGTGTGGGTTCTGTCCGAGGCCAGGCTGCGACTCATGCCGAAGTCCGCCAGCTTTGCGCAGTTGTGCGTTTGCACGCGTGTGTGTGTGTAGGTTGAGAGTCAGTTTCAGGGAGGGTTGGTGCAGGTGTTGGCTGGGGTGCAGGTGTTGGCCGGGGTGCAGGTGTTGGGTTGCTTTTGATGCTATCTATGGATAGTATCTACGGGTGTCTATGGCTGAGTACGTACCCGTGTGCACGTGCGTGTGTGTATGATGTGTGGGACAGGGGGAGCATATCTTCACCCGTGGCAGCTACCCTGCGAAACCCTGCCTTCCCCGGTATTTCGGGGCACCCTCATCCAGTCACCCCAGCCAACTTCTCAGTGGATCGCTCAGGTTCCGCACCCACCACCAGCATCCAATGGAATCTGCCGGATCGACGACGGCTCAACTCCATTCCTGGTCAGCTCGCAGATCGGCTCTTTCCCGAGTCACTATCGTCCATCGACTAGACGCACGACCACCTTCCACCATCCCTGACAGGTCTCGATCCCCGAACCTCAGGGGGCATCGGTATGTGTGTGTTACCAATAGTGCCTGACCTATATACATATGTGTGTGTATGTATATGTGTATGTATATGTGTATGTATATATATGGTATGTATATATATGTATGTGCGTTTCGTGATCTGCCTCCCTCCTCCTTTCCATCTCCATCTCCCTCCCGCCCGCCTACGCCTACCTTGGCCACGAGTCCCCAGGGGCTGCTGGGGTCCTCCGTCAACAAGATGTTGCCTAATAGGGATATATATTTGTTTGCGAGCGACGTACAGGGCATGGGGATGTGGTCGGGAGTTGGCTGCTGCTGAAGTAACAATAAGTAAATAGTATTAAATAGTAATAAGTAAAAAATAATAAGTAAACAATAATAAATAATTAAATAAATAAATAAGCAAATAACAATGAATATTGAATTAATGAAATTCGTCGTTAGGAGACCCTAACGATCGAGCCCACCTCTGCCAACTTCCACCCCGGCCCCCTCTTGCTTTCCAGAAGCCCGTACAAAGTAACCTCCTCGCCGCCACAGCCCGCGCCACTTTCGTACCGATGCGTCCCGCGTAGCTGTATGTATGTACGTACGTACGCATGCTGTCCATTCATCCTATCATACCGGCGGGTCAGCAGCCGCAACCGTCCAAGAAAACCTTCTCCCCTCCCTCCCCACGCACACGCGCGAGCACACAAACACATACATGCGCACATACACACAGACACATCCCCCTCACCTGGCTTTAGGTCTCCATGACACACATTGCGGCCGTGCAAGTACTCCAGTCCCCGAGCAACATCCAGCGCGCAACACACCACACGGCGCATATCTGGGATGCAAGTCAGGGGGGGTGAGGAGGAGGAAGAGGGCGCCAGGAAGGGGGAGGAGGACGACGCCACGCGGGAAGGTGCGGAGATGTCCGCGGTGCCGTTGGCAGTGCTGCTGCCGGTGGTGGGTGGTGGTAGAGGTGGTGGTAGAGGTGATGGTAGAGGTGGTGGTAGAGGTGGTGGCGATATAAACCGCCACATACTTCCGTGCTTGAGCAACGTTGACAGGGTCCCTCGCTCCATAAACTCCTGCATATAGGTATAGAAATGTGTGTGTGTGTCTGTGTGTGTGTGTCTGTGTGTGTCTGTGTGTGTCTGTGTGTGTCTGTGTGTGTCTGCGTGTGTCTGTCTGTATGTGTGTATGTGTGTGTATATACACACACATATGTGTGTGTGTTTTACACCTTCCGAAGTTGCGTTACCCCCTTCCACAGCTGTAAAACGGGGAGGCTCAATGGCCAGGACGGCCAAAAACTGTGTAATTGCTGGCCGCGGAAAAAAGCCCTCTCAAATTCTGATAGAGCGAATTAGGTGCGCATTTATTTTTAGATGTACACATATATGTATGTATACATGCGGCTTGCACGTGGACAGCAGAGCAAGCCTGGGTATCGTTAGGCCGTGTTGCGACGGCAACAACCTGCAGTGACACGGCTGATGATGAGGTGGCGTGGGATGTACTGATGTACGGCATTCATCATCAGCGGGCGGCCCGAGTGACGGGTCTTTTTACCCCGGGCGGCCCGATTTCGGTCGGATAGCTAATGATAACTCATACACACACCAAACCCCGCTATCGACCCATAATAGTAGCTGTCGTACAGTACGGCACACGCATCATCTGTAAGTACGCGCTAAAGCACCCCTCTGCTGTCAGAGAGACTATGTTATAGGCCTTTCCAGCGGCGGCCAGCTACTACACCCATCCTCCATGCCACAATCCCGCCAGCATCTGCCGAGAAATCAATGTTAATAATTAATGTTAATAATGTTATTGTTAATTTGATCTCTCACGGCAAACCAACCTTGCAAGTACACAAACCTCCCCAAGGAACAAGGAAAACCCTAACCCCCCCCAACTCGTTTACCTGTTAACCCCTGCAATACACACACCCCGCCGCAAACCCTGAGCTGCCACCCAAAGCTATCCGCTACCCGGGCCACCCACCTGGATGACCCACGTCTCCGCCACACCTCCCCCACAATGCAGGGCCGCCGTCTGCGATTGCCCAGCAGCGCCATCGGCTCCGAAACCACAGCCGCCGTACATTACGGCAAGGAAGTCGCCCGCAGCACCTGTAAAGTCGGCGCCATCCAAGGTGCTTACGGTGGGCACCACGCCCAATGGGCCGCCGCCACCGCCACCGCCCTCCTTTTGGCCAGCAGCCCCGGGCTCGGCCAGCGCTTTTTCCCGGGAGAGCACGGAGAGCGTTGGCTTGCCGTCCTCGTCTACCTGCCCGCCACGTGCATTACATAAAGCTTACATGCATGCATATGCATATGCATATGTACATGTATACACCGACAGTTTTGAATCTTTGACGATGTGAAGCGGTGTACAATGTTTCCCTGTTCACATACACACACGCACTGTGGGACATAGGAAAGGGGGACATTCATGTCATGAGCGTCTATCATCGGAAGGCAAACATACAAAATAATCCGAACAGTTCTTTTCTTCGGGATTTCGGACAACGGCGCGTTTGAATGCCGAGGAGTGCACACGTTCGCAAATGCCGCTGCCATGCGCCTGCATCCATGACATACGCACCGAACAAGTGATGTACGACAGCGCCCGTACGACATTACGGTGGTCAAAGCTGAGACTGAGCCGCAACTCGTTCTCGACGGACTCCCAGGTGTTGTGCCGGTCGTGATGGCTGATCACCTGACAGCGGATAGATCACCGCCGGGGGTGGGGGTGGGGGTGGGGGTGGGGGTGGGGGTGGGGATGGGGGTGGGGGTGTAGGGAGGGGTGTAGGGAGGAGTGTAGGGAGGGGTGTAGGGAGGGGTGTAGGGAGGGGTGTAGGGAGGGGTGTAGGGAGGGGTGTAGGGAGGGGTGTAGGGAGGGGTGTAGGGAGGGGTGTAGGGAGGGGTGTAGGGAGGTTCGTAGGGAGGGGTGGAGGGAGGGTTGTAGGGAGAGAGGAAGCAAGCCGGACAGGAAAAAGCGTATATTCGTGGAGTTGCGGGGGCCGCAAGCGGATGGGTTTAGGTTAGCAAGGGGAAGGACCCCGCTACCTGAGAACCCCCATGGTTACCCCATTAGGAACGATTTGCATCGAATTGCAACGATTAGGGGGCGACCTAGTATGAGGTCATCGAAGATCAGAATTGCATTAAGAGGATTAGCAGGATTAACAGAATTTACTAAGCGGCGCGGTAAAAACGATTTGAGGAGTTGAATTTGGCCACACACGTTCCCCCTCCCCGCGAATTGGAGGAGGTGCTGCTTCTGGAATACCGTTCTAGGCTGCTTAATCCAAAGCACAAACACAACCCTCCCCGCACGCTCGTCTCCCCCCCCCAGATCACCTTTATGGCCACTGTTACCCCTTTCCAAGATCCCCTGTACACCTGCACAAAGTAAGTAAGTATGTATGTAAGTAAGCCCGAAGCAGGTAGGGTAGGGGGTAATTTACAAACCTCACACAAGACGCACAAAGGACCACATATCTTCCTAGCTTCCCATCACACCTCTAAACAACCCAAAAATCTGCTGCTAATCTGCATTCCTCTTAATCCGCCTACCTAGGGTACGACCTGGACCCCTATCTGACTGCTTGCTTGCTCAGTAGCTTGCTCGGTTGCTTTGAATGACATTGACAAAGTATATATATTCCCGTAACCCTGCAGGGAACTGCTTGCCCGCCAGCAGCACCCCGCACAGCACCCCTCAGGGCCTCCTAGCTTCCATCGTCCAGCTGGAACCCCCTCATCAGCAATTAGCTTCCTAACTACCTAACTACCTAACTACCTCGATCTATCCAATCAAGCAAGTAACATATACAGCTATTGTTCAAGGCAACATCCCACCAAAGAAGCAGCCCCCCATCGGCCAGCAACAACAACAACAACAACAACAACAACAATACACACAACACACACACCGTCCCCCCCCCCACACACACGCAGACCGCTGCCCCGCCCCTCAGCACTGCGGCCCTTGCAGCCGGCGCGTGTCGTCATCCACCTCCCCCACTCGTTCCCCTACCTTGCCAAAAGACCCTACTCCTAGCAGCCGTCCTAACACGACGTCTCCAGCCGCCGCAGCCACCACCGTTTGACCGCTGCCGGAATCATCCCTTGCTAAAAGTGACAGAAGATGTCGCGGCTGTTGCCGCTGTTGCGGCTGCTGCTGTTGCTGTGACTGTTGTTGCTGCTGTAGTTGCCGCGGCTTCTGCTGCGGCTGCTGCTGCGGCGGCGGCGGCAGCGGCAGCGGGGGCGGCGGTTGCTGTTGTAGCTGCGGCTGCGGCGGCTGTTGCTGCTGTTCCAGTGCTGCGTCCACCGGGCCCCTTCCCAGCAGCAGCTTCTCACCCGACCCCTTCGCGCCAACCTTGATGGCTTCTCCCATCAGAAGCTGCAGCAGCTCCACATCACAGCTTCCAGTACTCAGCAAGGGAGGGAGACCAGCAGAGGCTGTAGTCGGGGGGTTCATGGCCGCATGGGACGTAGGAACGATAATAATACCTTCACTACCGCCGCCCCCATAGCCACCGATGCCGCTGATACTGCTGTTACCTCTGATGGCCAGGCTTTCAGCTGTAGTGGCTGTAGCAGGCACAGCTGCACGTGACTGTACCGGTTGCAGGTGTGCTTGTGGCTGTCGCGGCGGCGGCGAAAGCAGTTGCGGCTGTAGCTTTAGTCGCTGCAGAGGTTCTGACTGTAGTTGCGGTACTGGCTGCGATTGTGGCGTATGGGGCTGCTGCAGCTGCACGCCGAAGCTCAGACGCCCAGTCCACAGCTTGCGTATAAACTCTGTTACGACACAGGGCTCCGGTGCAGCTGCTGCCAGTTGCAGGCGCGTGACCGCCGTTGTAGTTGCGGGTAAGCGGACGCTGTTGTTGCAAATGTCAGGAAAGTGGTTCATGTTGATGCTATAGTCGTGGACCGGCATGCTGTCGCCACCGGCACCGCCGCGTCTTGAGACCCGCGATCGAAATAGCATTAGCAGCACGGAGCTTAAGCTATGGATACTGCTACTATTGCTGCTGTAGCTTAAGCGCCCGCTGGCAGCAGTAGCAGCGGCGGCGGTGGCAGTAGTAGCTACAGCTGACTGGGTGAATGAATTAGTAGCGCGTCTCAAGTTTGCAGCGGTAGCAGTATTGCTGCCCCCGATGCCGCTCCCCAGCGCAGATGCACACACATCAACGTCAGTAACTGTAGCAGTAGCAGTAACAGGACTCGCACCATCCGGGCGCACCATGCAATCCGCCACTGCTTCCAAACTCCGGCGGTAGCTGGCCACAGGAAACTGTGTCGTAACAGCAGCAGCAGTAATACTAGGGTTAGACACATAACTACCGCGCCCGATGACGCCGGTGCCACTGGCTGCCGTACGGGGAACCATCCCAGCAGTAGTGGCCATGCCATTTACGGTACCAGCAGCACTGGCGCTACTGCCGGCTACTACTGCTAAAATCCTGACATCACGCACACCTTCATCCATTACTGTGTCGATCTCAAGAGCAGATTTATCAGCATCCACAAAAGATCCTCGTACGGCATCTTGGGCGTAGGACGGCGTCATCATGGCGGAGGACGTGATCAAGGTCCCGCTGGGAGCCCCCGATGCCGTACATGTTCTATTGAAGCCGGTGTCAGCAGCAAACCAGGCCGCCTCGGGGTCTGCCGTACCGGTCCTGCAGGGCTGGTCCGTATTGCGCCCGTGGGGTTGGTGTTTTTGTCGGGTGTTACCAAGGGTCGCCGCGTCCGCCATGTCCACCCGTTCCACGTTGCGTTCATCACCTTCATGTAGGCGATCAGCGTTCTCCTCCTGTCGCCGGACTTTGGGCACCTTGCCGCCAGCAGAAGCACCGCCGCAGCTGATACTAATGATGGGCTCATTAATAGGTGCTGCCGCAGGGGGGGTGTCGCCGCTGCGGCGGTGGGCTGTCAGCCATCGCCACGCGACGATGGCGAGACCTAGTATCCCTGGTCAGCAGAGTGGTTCGAGAACGGTTGGCAACGGTAACGGTAACGGTAGTGGTAACGGTAACGGTGCACTGACCTCAGGGAACGCGAAGAAAGGGCAGGGCAATCCATGAGCAAGCAAGCCTTCTACGTTTACATGCAGTCCAATCAACGAGCTCGCTCGTCCACCAGTAATAAAGGTAGAAGTGGAACGAGGCTTACCGGCCACGATGCCTCCAGCTATGGCTCCGGCCCTGGCTGCTTTGCTGAGCCCACTGCCACCACCACCACCACCACCACCACCACCACCTCGCAGTTGTTGAGATTGCTTGGAGGTAGCCGCACATGTACATAGCACCGGGTGCATGGAAGTCATCAACAATGGATTTGTTGACACATATATAAAACACTATTAAGCTGGTGTATCATCACATGCGGCCGTATCGCTAAGTGGATAATGGATAAGGGCAAGGTCCACGATTCGACTCCTTGTACGATTGGGCATACTGAGGTTTCATGAGTAATGCAAACGTTTTGACTGAAGAATTTATGTAGATTATGGGGAGGGGAGGATTTCGCCGGGACAGGAAGCTGTAACTGTCCGATCCACATTCCGTCACTGCTTGCCAGTTCACATTTGATACTGAAGTGGACTGGAGAGGAAGCAGACCTTTCCTTCCGACAGGCCATAGAAAACTATTGGAGGCCTCAACGTGGTCATCCTCATGGCCCGAACCTGACGATAACGTCTACCAGGTGATCCTGCCACAGCCCGATGGGACGAATGGGCGGATGCAGCAGTGCCTCTCCCGCTTCCCGCTGTCAGCATTTGCAAGAGCAACGGCTGTGTCAGCATTCCGCTTACAAACCATCACCTGGCACATAGAGCATGGCGGGCTGGCCCCAGACCGCACGATGGATACGAGGTACAGCGACTCTCAGTTCATCTGGTTGACCGTCAGTGGTGCCCGGGTGATCCCGGCCGACGTTTGACTGGTGTTCCTGGGGAGCCCCTGATCGGCCACGGACTTGCTGGTCTGCTGCCCCTCCGGCAACACATCCAAACCCAGCATCAACTGAAGCCGCGGAGACAAAAATAGATCCGTCCGAGGAGGCGCTGCTGCTGCTGCTGAGCGGCTGCATCTTGTTTTGGCAGCCTGGGTCGGGGTCGGAGACTAGCCGACTAGTGCTACATGTGCTCCCGACCCTTGCGCTGTGTTTCGGCTTCGGTCCCCTTTCTTTCGCGGCCCATAATGTAATCTAAGTCACATATACATACATACATACATACATACATACATACATACATACATACATACATACATACATACATACATACATACATACATACATACATACATACATACATACATACATACATACATACATACATACATACATACATACATACATACATACATACATACATACATACATACATACATACATACATACATACATACATACATACATACATACATACATACATACATACATACATACCTGCAATGAAGTCACATAGCACAAGTCCGGGCCCATCTCATCAATGCAGTCCTGTTTGGCATGGATTGCACAACGCAGCACGCTCGAGACGTATACATAGTGGTTAGGCACTACTGGTAGAGCACGCACCATTGCCCCCGGGAGATCCCGGGTTTGAGACCTGCCAGGGTCGAAAAATCTTCCGAAGGTGGAAGGCAAAGTGCCCCTAGACGATGGACGGTGGTGATCAGGGATAAGTTGATTTGCGAACTAACCAAGAGTGGAGTTGAGCCGCCGTCGATCCGGCAGTTTTCGTTGGATGCCGTGGCGGGTGCGGAACCTGAGCGATGCACTAAGAAGATGACTAGGGTGACTAAATGACGGTGCCCAGAAATACCGGGGAAGGCAGGGTTTGCCGGGCACAGGCCACAGGGTGAAGATGTGCCCCCCTGTCCCACACATCAAGTGGTGTAACGAAGGTAAAACCGCCGTGCTGTTGGTCATGGCAGCGATAGCATCATCTCGCTCTGCTGCTCGCGCGCAACATGTGACACCAGACAAAGACGTGCGCGCGTGTGAAACCGCCAAAAGAGTGGGGGATCCATCCTTCCACACCAGGACAGCAGCAGGGCAGCGGATAGAGCAATTACTAGCACACATAATAGCTTGCATGAATGGCGCTCATACATGCAGTGATTGTGAAAAGGTAGATATGCATTACTCTCCATCGCTCGCCATGTGCTGCATTTTCAGGTGGTGCTGATTTGCTCTCCTGCTGTCTGCAAATCATCAACGGTGTGTGCTATGGAATCGTACGGCATGCACGTCAACATCTCGTCCATGTACGACTGCTGAGGTCAGTGTATGTGGGTACGTAAATGCCGTGACTAATAAATAATTAGTAATGATGAGCTCTTATTAATTGAAGGGTGTATGTCCTTATGCTGGATGGAATGTGCCTGTTCACACGGGCCAAGCCTTACTACAGGACTACTACACGGTCTTCAGGGGCAACATAAACGCCTTGCCTGCCTGGCTTAACCTCGGATACGCGAGTAACTAACCCTAAACCCTGTAACATACACAACCCCCCAACCTCCTCGCACTGACTCGACCAACCTGGGTGACGAAGCTGTCGCAAATGTGGAGAACGTTGGACCAAACCACCTGGTACCCTGTATGTATGTTGTTACAGGGTGGTTAACTTCGCCAGCGGCCCCCTTTCCCGGGGCAGTCCCTGCTCTCCCCTGCTAGAGGGGCACCCTAATCCGTCACCCCATCCGACTTCAGAATGTATTCGTTGGGTTCGGCAACTCACCACAAGCATCCAACCAAATCTAGCGGATCAACGGCGCATCAACTTAGTTCCTGGTCAGCTCGCAAGTTGATATTATCACGTCCTACACCGTTCATATGATGGGGGGCCACCTCCCATTTCATCACTCCTCAAACACCCGAGGAGCTGGCAGGCGGATTTGAACCCGGGTCGACTGGATCGACTGGGAGCAGAAGTCAGGCCTTAACTTCTGCCAGCCGCCTGCCTATGTATGTATGTATACAGCCAAAGCAAGGAAAAACAGGCGAACATAACGAACAGGGACGATACGGTTCCTTTATTGCTCTTTCTGACCGGCTACTATACACAACTTGCGCATTATTGTTAGCTAACAATAGGTTGGGGCCTGGGGCCGGGGCCGGGCCGCGTATGTTGAGGATACTGGTGCTGTACCGTCAGTAACCTTTGTCTTAGGTTCCCAGTGCAGTGCAGTGCAGTGCAGTGCAGTGCAGTGCAGTGCAGTGCAGTGCACGGTCCGTTGCGGCCCCCGATAGCCTTACCCTGGTGGGTATTCCCTCGGGGTCTGGGGCTCGCTGCAATACCTACTACATCGTATCTTACCCCGAACTCCCTGGGTTACGTAAATTTGAGGAGTGTCTGTAGATGATCTAATCCCAGGACATGGCACGATCTATAGACCAAACTATACCATATATACGATCTAATTCTCGGTCCTATCTATTACATGATGACCCTGCTGTCTACCGACGTGCAAGGGATCACAACTAGCGAAACCGCTTAGGGCCGGCTTCCATTGGCCATTTATCATGAGATTTTAAGGTAACTACGAGGCTAAAATTTGGGCACTTGGGGCAGCGACATTTAAGTTAAATGGGCCCGTCTGCCGCCCCCGCCGCACTGCGGCAGTTAGTCCGTAAGTATCATCACGCGAGGTCAATTCTGCATGTAAATAAAATTTATGAATAAAATAATCTTGATAATTTTGGTGCTATAGCTTTTTTCGGTGAACCTATTACCACCTGAGCGACCGCCGGTGATAAGTTCGCGAACCCTAGTTATACTGTTTAATTAGCTCATAATAATATTCCTCTAGATAAATTTTATTTTCCACCTTACTCAGCTGCGGCGCCGCACCGACGGTAACATGCCATGGAAGATGTGATCCGATTACAGTTGGAAGCACTACCATGGAAGCACGCAACCTTTAGCCATTTTAGTGGGGTGTTTCCCGAATTATAGGACGCTAATTATAGTGCTGGCTAGTAGAAGCTGGCCCTTTCCCGAAGTAGGTCAGAAGATGGACGGCCCAGCCCATTCGCTTGCCGGCCATACATCTGCTTTTAGGTAGGGTAAGTACACAAAAACGCTGTTGCAATCCTAGCCTCTCGTACAGAGCCGTTCCATTTTAAAAATAAAAGGCGAAAGCTTTCACCATGTGATTGGCGAGGACCGTATGTATGTATGTATGTATGTATGTATCTGCTTACCAGAGCTGCTGTTTATTGCCCAGTCCCAGGCGCGTACAAGGGGTGAGAAGCAGCGGCTTGACGTGTGCGGGCAGAACTTTTCGTCGCTGAGAGTCAGGTTCTGTTCTCCGGGATAAGCAGCAATCCTGGGTATTGCGCGCCAGCCTGGTACGGTGTACTGCCATGCACCGGAGGAATACGGTACACACGTAGGTACGGGAAATACATTGTTCATTTATATGCGGCGGGCAGTCAAGCAGCAGGAGGGCATTAGCTAGCACCACTCGCATCACCGAGAACCATGGAGAACTAAGAACTGATCACGCACCGGCGTGCGCAATACTGTAACACGACTGAACTGCTCACCAGGCGGCTAAAGCGAGGAAGGTGGAAGACGCAAACATGTTGTCTCAAATCCCATGTATTATTATGCACACAACTACATAGCATGGCCACTAAAGAATCTCGTTGGCCCGGGCTATTCAAGTCCCAATGCGCAACGCTTCCTTTCAACGTCCAAGCAACATGCAGTACGCAAGTAGTCATGCGGTCTGCTGCTGCCACAACGTGGTTACCCCGTTTCTCAAACATCTGCGTTGTTTTCGTCGCAGCAGCAGCAGCAGCAGCAGCAGCAGTCAGCGGTAGGTCTCTGTAGCTACAGAGACCTATAGGCCACACAGCCACGCTGTCAATTGCTGTATGCGCATCCTAGAAATTTGGAAGCCAGTGATAGATTAAACCGCGAACTCCAAGTGATTAAGCCGCAAACCCCAGAACCCCCATCCCAGTGCGCGACTACTCCTCAATGGTTGACGACCCCGTCTCACCTCGAAGGGGATGCAAATAGTGAGGCGGTCAACAACTTCAACCATCATTATTTTAGACGAAGAGGGTGAGGCTCCAAAAAAATCATACGATGGTTGTTTCCGCGAGAAGACGTCCAGAAGAACCAAACGCCGAAAAGTAAGTATTGCGCCATCCCACAGCACCACCTTCAGCGAGAACATAATAGTATGTTAAATGTCTGCAATCATGTTACTCATGCGTCCATGTGCCGCGTGCTCACGAACAAACGTTGTATGACTCATACACTCCGGCACTAAACACAAGGCAACTTATCCCACAAGAGTTTATAAGGTACTCGTTCACCTTTGACTGTATAAGGCCGAAGTCGAGCTCGACAAAGGACTCCCAATCAAGCGCTGACCCTTCCATGGTCAGGTTGCGCGTGATGTTCACAACCTTATAAATCTGACCCCAAAACGTTGACTTCAGTTTAATGTTCTCAGATATGATAATCTTGGTCACGTTGCCATTGATTAGCGCCTTATAAAGACTGAATTCATCTGATACCGTGACTGTATCTGTGCTGGTGAGACCCAGAGATGAAATGAATATGAAAATGAGGATAAACCATTGAACTATCCTATAAGCGCGTTTTTGAAAGCTGATCGCAGGCAACTCGTTGGTTATCATGTCCGAGTACTGAGACGTTACAGTGTGTTTCCACTTGGGCGCACATCAACTGTCAGCATTACTTCTAAGAGTGTAATTATTTATGGCTAGTGAGGTTGTATGGATGTATGGATGAATAATACAAGCTTCAACGAGCTCGTACGGCTCAGACGAACCCGGGGGCTCATGAACCGCCATAGTAAGCAATAGTAAGCAAAAAGAGTATAGTAAGAAAGACTAAGCGCTTAAACAGCGACTGCATCAACAAAGGTTAGTATGGCCTTACCTCGTCCTAGTGCACAGCCAGCGCCAGGATATAACGCGCTCGTGCCGTAAGCGAAACATCTCATGAATGACCCTCGCAAAACCGCGCTGATCCCCGACCTGCGCGATATCGAGGACACTCGCACTGATGGGCACACCTATGTAGATCCCAAAGCTTCTGTCGTGCCTGTGTTAGCGACGGGCACTCCACCAGCTGCAGGCCCGCTGGATTTTCCAAGATTCACATAGAGGCGACTTAGAACAATTCGTTAATCCTGCATGGATTGCGTTTGAAGTCCGCGTGTAAGGACTGTTTGAAGTCATACGTGCGAAGCACCGGGATTCAATGGTTGGGCACTACGGGTAAACCGAAATGCGGGAGGCCTGCTGACGCCAGAAGGCAACGCCCATATGCGTGCATTAGTACGTGAGCCTCCCGCTTCTGATGTGACGGCACTATGTAACCCCCAGGACGAGCCACTCTTCGGGCCGCAGTGCACACCGGAATAATTTACAGCCCGCATTAGCAAACCAAAGCGCATTCGCAGCATTACACATGCAAAAGTAATAATTCGCCCCAACAACTCCTACCAGGAGAATCATACGCAGTGCGAATCATACACGAGATGCGGCAACATATTTGAAGCAGCAGCAGCTCTGAAGCAGCAGCAGCAGCGCCTAGCTGTGGCGGCTCCACGGAATCACTGCTAAACTTCAGTTGGCTGTACCCCCCATCATCACGGCTCACAGATTCATCCCACGGATGCGTACCTACTTACCTGCAATGTTCGTAGTTACCGGGCCCATGCACTCAAGGCACAAACGGAACCGCTCTGGCATCGCATCACTGCACTATGTGTAGTGTACAGGAAGCTCTGACCCACTCAAGAGAAACGTCCGATATCCCACGGCCCGAGGGAAATGGACGTCGTCAACCACACCCTGCCAAACCTCCAAGAGCCGACTTCATCCCCGATGTGCGAGCCGACCTGGTAATTTGGACAGAGTTAGCAACTAGACCACTTGTGAAGGTGTTGGTAAACACCGGGGGTTTCCCTTGGGTTCTTATAGCCGCTTGCAGTCCGTCTGAGGTGCTTGGCTGAAATGCCGTACATTAGTAGAGATTCTTGCATAAGAGAATCGCATCTTCCAGAGAAGAATTACGACACAGGTCTGGCCGTGAACGGGCAGACGTGTACGGGATTGTTATAGCCATGGCTGTAACCATGTACTGCCGGGTACGGCTATAGCGGTGAGGCAGAGGGTTGCAAAAACGGTCTAATCCCCCAATCCCGGGGGGTGGTAGTGGTCAGCCATCCCCCCATCCTGGCTGGGGTGACCGACTCCCATCTCCCATCTTAGGGGCCCGGTGCTAATCCCATCCTTTGAGACAGGTTTCCCATCCTGCCAGCCTGGGTCCCATCCCCAATCCTATGGCCAGGGTTTCCAATCCCATCCTGCAGCTGTGTTCCCCCAATCCTCATCCTGCCAGCCAGGGTCCCTTCCCAATCCCTTCGACCAGGGCCATCCCCATCCTGCAGCTGTGTTCAGATCCGAAAGCTGTCAGCCAGGGTCCCATCCCCATCCCTTGCCAGCTACAAACCTACTCCTTACGTTTACACAGGTGCTGTAATATCGGCTTTCTCTTTAGGCGTAAATCAGGGGAATGACCAGGGTTATTTTCTATTTCCGCGAGATATTTTTCTCTTGCTCTATGGCTTATTTCCTCTAGCGTCAAATTCCGCCCGGCTGTGTTCGTTCCGAAGCAGACTGAAGCGACAAACGCTCGTTGAAGCGGATCTCGACTGAGGAAGAACTCGCATCACAGAGGTCTACGTATCTAATTGCACACTGGCTGCTATTGCAAATCGCGCGTCCTAAGGGGGGAAGGACTGTTATGTTCGAAGGACGGCCACAGCAACAAATTATAATGCTGTGGTTAGAATGGCAGAACGTACAAGGGTGTTCTGTCAAAATGTCCATGGCTGGGAACGTGCACCATTGGTTCAGGTTCATAGCGCAGGAGTTCAGCTGCACATTT